GTTCATATTGCATTTCAAAATGCTTTCTTATGTACATATTTACAGAGATAACCAAAACATATTCTTAAAAATTATTTTAACTGAAAAATTTTATTTCTCAAGCAGCTCATAATTTTGCGGTTGGTAATTTACACCAGGTTAAATAGATATGGTGGTAGTTATGGCTACTGCTGGAACTCAATTATTCAAATTTGCATTAATGCAAGGATTTGAAAAATAAGGGTTGGATAAACCCTGGCTCATGCAAAGAGCTTTATTACCTGTAGTTTCTGCAGCTAAGTCAGTATGTTTGGAATGATGGTATAATATTTTCATTTTCCCTGACTCTTAATCTCAACTATCAGATTTATTCCAAAGCTGTCACTTTGCTGCAGAGCAAAATGAATGCATCTAGGATGGTTGGGTATGACTAAGTGTCCCACTTTCCCCTAAAACTAAAACTTTAACTGATGGGTGATTTACTTGATATATGTAATATCATATTTAACAAGTCTAACGTAAAATTACTCTTGCAACAGTATATACTAATTTTCATCAAATCAACTGAAAAACGTCCTAGGGTTGGGCTGAAGAGAGGATATCAAAATTCCTGAAAAAAAAAAAAAGAATATAAAAGAAAATTGGAAGCTTTTTTCTCCCAAAAAAATCCTCAGCTTATAGTTCAACCTTTTTGAATACATCACCATTATTAAAAAAAAAAAACAACACAGCAATATAATGAAAGGGCTGTATCTTACATACAGTGCATGCTATCAGCACTAATATAAAGACAAATGATACTGTAAAAAATTACCAACAAAGAACAGAAAGATTTTATCCTTAATTTTTTTTACTGCCCACTCTTGAAAGCAATTAATTGAAATTACCTGTTGAAAGATATCAGAGTTTAAATCTAATTTACTCTGAAAAAATTCACTAACTATCAAATGTACATGTACAAAAAAGTAAATAATTTCCAGACTGGGCTTCACATAGCATTTAGGACCTTACTCTGGAACAGTGGGGGTTTTTACTGTGAACCATGTATGACCACCTGTAAGACTTACTGTAACACAACTGCTTTCTGTAATTTAATCACTTTGAAAGATCTGGGGGGTAGTTTACTCTTACACACAAGTGCTGAGAGAGAAGAAAATTCAGTATGTACTGCATGAATGTGTTTCAGATAGTAGACAAAACACAAAAAGTTTTTAAAGAGCAAGAGTGGTATTAGCAGGGAAAAACATACATGTTCCCTAAAAAGAAAATTTTTTTCAAAAAATGAGAAAAATATACAGAGGAAAAAATGGTTTCACTAACACTAAATTACTGTCTTTACATCCTATTAAACAAGAATTTGTCTCAATTACCCCAACATCTGTTAAAAGTAATCATTGTCCTGTCACAACTGATCCTGGCCTAGAGATATGATGGTACAGTGGTTCCCTGCATGATGGTAACTGTCACAATATGCATTAGAAGCCAAAGAACAAGCTAAGCATTATTCACATTTCTAACAACTGGGAATAGAAACAATATTACAGCAAATGCAGTGTTTTTAATAAGTATTTCTGTTTGCCTTTTTACAATAAGTTGCAAACACTTCTGCTGAAGGAAAAGAGAATTTTTGCTTCTCTTCTAAAACAGCATCTCTAAAGAAGTAACAAAACAAAAACATCAGAGCAGAAGCTATGTAACCAAGAATGAAGGAAGAGCATTAAACAAAGTTACTGCAGAGAATTAATGCAGCAGTTAATGCAGCAGAGAATTTTGAAATGCTGGTGTGGTCAGGCCTTTCTCAGTGTGGAAAAGGAACAGGATGCACAAGAATCAACTCAAATACTAAAAAGCAGGATGCAGACTATCTGCAGAAAAATATTTGATTCTAGTAATACAAATTAAACTCCTACTTTTCAAAAACTGGAATACCAGGAAAGACCAGGAATAACACTTTAGAAGGAATTTATATTACCCATCTTTCTTTGAGTTTAGTGGTTAAGTGAGCTCAGTGACCCTTGGCAAGATCAGAAACACATAATAATGTACCATATTTGATAGTTCTTAAAGAAATATGCTATGTAGGAATCTCTGAAACATATATGTATTGTTATTAAACAGATGAACCTGCATATAGCCTCTGGATAGTTACTGTTCATTTAAATCAACACGAAAAGACCCAGTACTTATCTTGTGACAAAACTGTATTACTAATCTCTCAGAAGCTGTGGTGAAGCATTGCCATCTACACCACTGAGAACATCCCACCCAATGAAAAACACTGCAGACTAGTAGATTGCTGCTCCTCAATAAAGACTAATGAACAAGTACTTTCTTTCCTCAGTGAAAATGTGTTTCACTCCTTCTTAGTGTACACTGAACCTGCAAATGCCAAACATAAGACATCTAAAAATATTTGTAATACTTGAGATTTTCACTTCTTGTATTTACAACTATCACATTCTTACTAACATCAAAAGGTAAAAAACAGTGAAGGAAGCTTTGCCACCTTTTAATTTTGCTTACTATTCTCAGTCAATGTAAATTTAGTTTCTGGATTAAAAGAATAAAATACAGTTTGCACATATACTTGTTGACACATTACATTTATCAGCCCACACCAACACATTTGAGAGTGTGGGGTCTTTCACAATGATGAAGAGAAATAAAGGTATCCCATTTCCTCCCTCTCTCAACTGTGAAGGTTGTATGTAAACCAAAAAGCACTAAGGACCACCACTGGGAACCAGTTCAGTAGGCATTAAGCTGGCTTGCTACTTGGTGCTACGAGTCCCACACACAGTGATTTGACAGTGAGACTGGAAGAGCACGAGTTCTTTACCCATTTACAACTACTCTAGAAAGTTTACAATGTATTGTCAATGTTTAGACACTAAACATTGACACTTTTCTGCAGCGCCTTGATGTTAGCAACAGGAGAATAATGGCAAAAAAAAAAAGGAAAGCATATAGCCTTAAGAGGGTGACAGAGAAAAAAACAACAAATTTTTTGTTCCCTTTGTCTCACCTTCTGTGTCCTCTTCCCATTAAAATGAAGTAATGTGGTCCTGCCACTCTTTGTGAAGAATTTCAAGAAAAGCACTAGGTCAAAGTGGGGTCTGGCCTCTTCTAGAAAGTGCAAGACAAAACAGGAGCAAGAGTATGTGCAGGAGCAGAGGGCAGAGCCAACTGCAGCACAGCAGGAACTTTTCTTCAGGCAAGGAGGGCTAATCCTGGATGAAGACACATCTTCCAGTGTGTCTGCATACACTACGTTCACAGGTGCTGTCCTGTCTCACCCAGGCCATAAAATAACTATGTCTGTGGAGATTCTGTGTGTGTCCCAAATAAAGTACTATGTGTAAGATGAAAATGTGACTATATCATGACCCTCAAAGAAATTACTAAAATAGAAGAACATTAACTTAACACTCACACTATAAATGCAATATTAAGCGGAGTCAAATAAACATATATATGACACACAATTTAATTAATACCATATAATGTATACCATTTGCATCTATGTATATAATTATTTACACATCTTAAAAGCTGGTGCATATTAAATACCTAAAAATCATAATCTCATTCTGAGAGAAACTATCACAAAAAATTAATCTTTTTGCTCCTTATGCACAAAAAACTAATCTTTGTGCAACTTTTAAAATAAGTGGAATACTACAACTGCAAAACTGTCCAACATATGGGCCCACTTCCCAATTAATTATTTGCTGGCTAAAGTGTTAAAATGTCCTTGGCTTCACCTTAGACACAATCATCCCAGCTGGTCATTATCTAACTGGAAAGGGGCCAAAGAATCTCAGCTGTCAGTACACAACAAACATGTATGTTTTGTCCTTTTTTCCTCCATTTACTTCACTTTCACAGATCTGCACTTAAAAGAAGGAAAGCTTATTATGCATGAAACTGAAAAATTTTGGTATCTCTTTTACTGCTGTGACTCTGCATACCTGGAGTGCAGGTGGTAAGTGGGGTAATGAAGAAATCTTCTGTATGCATTTATTGAAAAGTGATTCATCTAGCCTTACTAAACCCGATTCTATTACTCTGTGTTTCTACTTAATTTACCACACGTGTGAAAAAAACACAGAAGTTTTCTAAAGACAGAGCTGAAACAAAGTTATTGATGGGTCATGTGTCTGCAAAGAGTCAGGAACTACTCAAAAAGCAGGAAAATATCCCTCAACCAAGTGAATGTTTAGCAGTCAGCTTGTAGCCAGTGTTAACAATCAGCTTGCAGTAAACCTGCAGATCAACAGGTGGAAAGAAAATGGCTTTTCTCATTTGCACATTACTTGTGGAAGAAGCCAAAGGACAGCTGGGAGAAGGAACACATGTAAACAAGGCAGACCTAATGATTTCCTAATTAAAAAGAAGATATTATCTTTCCATTAATAGATAAACTAATTGACCAAACTCAGCATTTTCCCCTCAGTACAAGTAAACATAGGTGCTTTTCCTCACTGAATTGCCACATGTTTAGGCCAGCTACTAAGCTGTCAGTTCTTCTTGATTTGTTTGGATACTGTACTCTGTGACAGCTGTCGGAAATAATACATTAGAACAGTTGTTGTAGCACTTACAAAGGGACGGGAATTTTAACTGGACGGGAAATTAATTGGGAGGGGGATGTCTTTTTTTTTTTTAAATCAAAGTTAAGACAGAAATATTCAAAGAATGACAGATGTATTTAAGGTATTTGACCAATTTCTAGTGAGCAAGGCTGGTTTTTGTTTTGACTGTGTAACTTTGTGACAGTGGTCTTCACCATCTTACATGAACCACTTCATGCTTAAGAAAAGGGGCTTTAAGAAGAAGAAACAGTAAGGAAGTTGCATAAACAATCTTTTTCAAATACTGGTTGTGATCTAGAGAGGACCTGAAAGTTTTTGAAGAATCACTCAAAAGGAAACTCATTCTGAGACTCTTAGTGGCCACCAGCTGAAAACAAAACCACGCGTGATGGCCAAGACCTAAGCATAAATGAATAATAAACTTACTTTCAGCATCAGCACAGAGCAGCAAGCACAGGAGCACCACCACTGGCCTGACTACGTGCATCATCCGACAGCTTGGCACCAGCATGCTTTGGCAGCCTTGTTCTCACTGGCTTAGAAGCCACTGCGAGTCTGTCCAGTCTGAAATGTCAGATGAAGTATTTTCAGAGCCTGTGAAAAGATAAAAATACAATTAGCAAAAAAAGACTAGAGTTTTCCTTTTCTTTTTTTTATGTATTCACAATTTGAGGCAAAACAATTTCAAAAGACAAAAGGGTAAGGCAGAAAGAGGAAGAAACATAATTAATTTCAAGCTACCGGTATGTATAAGAGATCCAAGACACAGTAAATGTGTTACAACACATTTCTTAGTGTCCTTTATCACATAACCAAGCAACTGTCACATCCTGAATCTTTAGTTAGAACTACAGCATGTCCTACACCAAAGAAACTAGTATGACAAGGTTTAAGACATCACTGGAACTCATGTTGCAAAAAGATAATCAAAGCAGCTTAGATATCCATAACAAATCCACATGCCAACAGGGAGCTGATGCCCTGGCATCTGGTAAGAAAAACACCACCGAATCCACTTCAGAACATATTATTAACATATTGCATTGTTCAGCAACTTTCAAAGGTTAAAATTCCTATTGTGATTTCCTGCACATATCTGAATTATGCCTAATAGAAAAACAGAAATCTGGCATTGAATAAAGGGCTGAGATCTCAATTCAATCCATCTAATTTATTACAATGTGTAATTGAATATGATACACTGGTAGAACTACAGCTCAAGTACCTGACTTGAAAAAACAGTGTTTCATCCTTGTCCAAATATGCCACACGAACAGAAATTAAGGAATATAAAAAATTTTTCCTCCTTCGTCAGGAAATACTAGAGATATCCCTAAGCAGCGTGACATTGGCACTAAAAGAACATGACATGCAATTATACTTTCTGAAGGATCAGCAACATATAGGCTTTTTAAATTTGATTCTACCCTCTTCATTACCACACAAATGGCTTCCATGCAGTAAAGACGAAAACCAAGAGGGCAGAGAAAAAAGTATACTAATTATTATTCCACTAAATAGATCTTACAGTTTTGTGGGTGGCATAAAGAGCCCATTTTCAGTACAGAGAAATGCTCAAAAGAATTTACTCAAGGAAGAAAAGACATGAGCAGCTGGTAGAAATCTTACACTATGTTACAAATCTCTTTTGTAGAACTATCTTTTGAATCAGCGACTGCTATCAAAAAATAGAAGCCTAAGAAATCTTCATAGGCAAAATGCTAAAGGCACCAGCTCTCCCCTTTCATCGCTACCATCTTCATGCCAGCATTTCAAATGACAGCAAAGTCCATGAGACACCAGTCCTGTCGGACTCAATTTGTGTCTGTGCAAGCGTATCAGAGCCAACTGCTGTGTAATGATTCCAATGCTATCACAAAGATGGATATGCATGAAACGCACTTTCAAGGAAAAGGTGATTTTTATTTTGCTTCTTCTGGAATGCAGGAGTTACAGGGGAGCCCTGAACTATCTCTACAGCCAGCTCACTTAAGAACAAAACTATTTTTTCATTAGTACACAGCCATACTAGCTGATATGTGAAGGTGACCAGAGAAATATGGTGGGTCCTAAGTACTCCCTTACTCCTTTCAGGGGCAGAAGCAGAGAGGAAACAATACTACAATCCTGAAAATTAATAAAGGGAGTAGAGAAGGGGGGGAAAATGGTGACCACAAAAGTACTTATTTTATACAACAGTTTTTTTAATCGGGGCACTGGGGCACATTATTTTCATACATTTCAAGCACTCCCATCAAAATATTAAATGTGGTGGCTAACAGGATAAATATTACTGTCTGCCTGGGGAAAAGAGTAATTTTAAAAACTTTATGGTCCTGATATATGAATCTGCACACATCCCCTACAAGCAGTCTGCAAATGAAGAGATGTGTCACAAAACTTGGCAAATAAGATTATTTGCCAAAGGGTTGAGAATATAGCTTTTTCTTGTCTTTTTTTTTTTTTTAATTTTTTTTTTTTAGTGAAACCTTATTCTACTCTCTCATTCTAAATGCACATACAACCACTTGGGAATACTGCACTCTGTGTCTGCTTTGAAGGCAATATTCATTATCACTCAGGTCATTAAATGAAAGCCCTCAGTATTCCCTTTCTTTCATGTTTCCAACAGGCTTGGCTTTAGCTAACCTGATGAACACACCAAGGTTTTCTCTTTGCTTGTTGCTTGTTCTCCCTTCTTACCTGCCTGGGCCTTCAAGTAAACTTCCAATATTCTGGCTCAGGGAAACATAAGCACTAGACTAAAGATGGTGGTTGATTTTTCTTTCAAGTTGAAGATACCTTGTTAATGGAGGCAAGCAGGTGATGGGCTGGTACATTGAGAGAAGCAAGCCAAGAGACATTCAGGTAATATCAAAGCTCTCCAAAAAAGTCTGCTTTACCCACAAGGAAAACAATTTTCAGAGCCTACTACTGACAACTGTACCAACAATGATATATCATGTAGTATATAGGCTTATTTGTAAAAACTAACATGAAGATGCAATTCCTTAAAAGGAGTAAATGAAATTACCAAGACAACTATCAACTTCCACATCAAGCCACCTTAGTAGTTCCAAAGTGAAAGAATTATCATCTAAAGAATTATTAATTCCTAAAATCAAATTAGGTTCCTTTCCTTTTATATTTCCTCCTGATGATGGCTTGTTATGTCCTGAGCGTGGTATCAAAGACAGTGAAAATACAAACAGCATTTGCAGCACCAGGTTACACTAGCCTTGTCATGAGAGGAACAATACTTGCCTTGCAGAATTAATCCTCAGTGAAGAACTCACTTAGAAGCCCCTATTACAACATTCACACTGCACCAGGGCAGAAAGATGAGGTTTCTCCTTGGCAGATGATCACAATAACTACAGAGAGGTCAATAATTCTTTGGAAAATTTCTCTTTATGAAGCTTTAATAAAAGCTGTTATTATTTTAGGTAAAGTTCTGTAAAACTGCTGTATTAAATAATCAGAAATGACTCTTCCAATAACTCTATTGGAAATTACTCTTTCAATATCTCTAAAAGAGCTATCTACAAAACTAGGTAATATATCCAACAATAATACACAAGTAAGTAAGAGGATAGATTCTCCCTGATTAACAGTATCTATTAACAGGATCAGTAAAAGTGCAGATGTGCAGCTCTCCAGAGTGTTCAACACAGAGACAAAAAAGAATTCTCCTCAGCAGGAGCACGGCAGCTGATAGTACCAGGGCATGGGCACGTGCACCAAGTATCCTCAAAAGGATCAACATCTGGGGAAAAGAGGAATTGGGAATGAAGGAATGAAACATCTCAACACTGGAATGCTTCCCTGCAGTCTGTTTACCTTAGTGGCAAAAATAATCTTTTAGGTACTATCATGGTACTCACAAGATGGCTCCTGCTTCAAGACAGTTATAGGAAATGCACACCTGGGGGCAAATTTTAGAAACCAAACCAAACCAAAAAAGTAAACACTGGTTGGTTGTTTTTTCTTTTGTTTTTTTGTTTTTTTTAATCAGCGTGTTTTTACATGCTGGAATGTGAACTTAAATGCTTGCTCACAAAGAAATTCAGCACAGCAGGGAAGAGTTGTCAGAAAAGCCTTGAACACGGACACAAAAGAACTCATAACACAGGTAGGGAGCCACATTGACAAAAATAATGAAGCAAACAGTAACTTAAAAAAGTTTAGAAGAAAGGGAATATGAAGGGATGAGAGTTCATTTCTGCTACAAACAGGATTTCTGGTTCAACTTTTCCAAAGTGTTAAATTGTTTAGAGATATGATTTTAGTTCATGGTCATCTCTGGTTTATCCCGAGAATTTCTCATAGAAACCCCATATTTTCCCCCATAGGAAAGTAACTGGATACACCTTATATTAAAAAAAAAGAAAAACAAACAACAAACAAACAAACAAATAAAGCAAAAAAATCCAAAAACAAAAACCAAAAATGTTTCTCTAAGAAAACACGGAAGCAAAGATTAAAACAGAAGACAGTGCTGAAATTCAGTTTTTACGCTTCATTCATCACATCCACAATCCTGAATTACACCCATTTCCAAGCCACATTTTTAATACCATGGAAATGGAAGACAAGAAATACAAAAAATGAATTTAAAATATTCCTAGAACTAGTGATGGAAAGGGTGTAAATACTTCCTGTATTTGCATATCAATCATGACCCCTCCTTAAAAATAAAATCTAAAAACTTCATGGAAAAATCTTGGCTTCAAAAACCTAACTGACAGCTGAATCATTACCAGAAAGAATAGAAAACAATGCATTAAATAAATTCTCATAAGGTCTTTAATCAAAATCAATTCAGAAACACCTCTGGGTAAAATAATGTCTTTTAAAGAGAATTAAATTTATTTTTCAAAGCAATAAGGGCAACTGGCAAAAGCATAAGTTCCGCATTTTGCTTGCACTTTTATTGACTGAACATGATAAATGTTTTCATAGTCAACCTGCTGGAAAAGTTCCATGTTTCATTATGCTTTTAGTCTTAAAAAATCCAAAATACACAATTAAGGAAATTTGAAAGGACAGCTGTGGTGAGTGTTCAAAAGTTTAGTCTTATCTGTCTCTGGATGACAACTCACCCTAATGCTTGTCTATCATTGCTGAATTTCTCAGTTACAGTTATTCCAAGATGAATGAGCACCCATCCTAAAACAGTAGGTTTCTGATGTCATGCAAGCATTTGAACTACATCACTATAAAAGCACAAATGAGTTGCAGTGCTAGGGGGCATTTTGCCTGTATAAAACAATATATCAATCTGATTCTACATTGTAGTTCTATTTTAAACTTCAACAAAGATTCCTTTGTTACCCTGAAAAACAGAGTAGATTTTTTGGTAACTGATGAAATAGATTAAACTGTTTAGTGAATAAATCAACGCAACAACAGCAAGGTACCTTGGGATGTTTTTCTCATATAGAAAGTTGTTAAAGGTTCCTGGTTTTTTGCTTACAAAAAGACTTATGTTCATATGGAATCTTAAACCACACAGCAAAACCTTGCCTAGCCTGATGTTTATACAGCTTCAGTTCCATTCTAAATCAGGGATTAAAATACCAATTGTAAGCTGA